CGTATCTGTTTAACCTGGTACAAGGCACACAAGTATTTCATTATATGGGACATCAACAGGGTTGCCTGGTCGGTCAAAATAGAGGAGGGTAGGCCGACTCGGGAAAATATCTGAAACAACTCTTTAGCAATACCTTTAATGGACATATTACACAGGGGTGTGGCTTCGGGTAGCATGTGGCGTAATCGATTACCACCAGTATATATTCGTGCTCCCGGGCTGATTTGGGAATAGGACCCACAAGATCCATGGCTATCCGCTCATAGGGGCGTTTCAATGATGGGGAGGGTTATGAGCGGGTTTCTGTAATTGACTTTGGGGGCATTCTTTAAGCACTGGTCACATGACTTACAGTACTTCTCTACATCACTTGTAATGCAGGGCCAGTAGAATTTACTCATGATGCTCTCTTTAGTTTTGTCTACTGCCAAGTGGCCTCCCAACACATACAAATGAGCCAGGTACAGTACTGTGTCTCCATATGCTTTAGGCACCATTAAAAGCTCTAGCACTTCGCCCTTCTCTTAACCACCCAGTACAGTAAGCCCTTCTTTATGTAGTAATAAGGGGGATTTACCTCATTGACGCCCTCCATGCGCTTCCCGTCCATCACCTTCACTCTGCGCCACACCGAGACCAGGTCCGGGTCCCGCAGCTGTGAGGTGCCAAACTGTCCTGTCAACTCATGGTAAATGAAAGTCTTGGCTGTCTATTCTCACCGGGGCCGTGCGGGACCTTGGTCTCCTCCGCTTTCCACTGGGAGACCTGGGCATGTGACCTCCTCTGTCGTTTCAAGAAACAGCTGCCTGAGCCTCTGATCTTGAATTTCCTTTTCTTCCTCCCCAGCACTCGATCTGGGTGAAGAAGAGACGTCTCCATGTAGTGCCAGTGGAGCACGGCAGGTGCGTGCCTTTTGGGGATGTGTTTTCTCTGAGAGTGCCAGTGACTGCTTCGCATTGCTTATGCGCACCGGCACAGGCTTGGGGCAGTTCTGGTTTACTCCGCCACAAACTCTCGAATAGGTTACAGTCTCTCCCTAGCAGTAACGATACTGGTAAATGGTTCACCACCCCCACCTTCATAGTGCACTTGCCTCTGGGAGTAACTAACGTAACCTGCGCCACTGGGTATTTGAATATATTAAGGGTCACCATTAGCTGCTGCCAAGGTAAAAGGTACTCTTCCTGGGGTCCAGCAACATTAAGGCAGTTATATACAATAAAAAATATTACATGACATTACATTTCATAACACTTTTCACAACACATTAAGTGTGTGCCCTCAGGCCACTACTCTACTACCACATGCTGTATCTACAATACAAAATCCATGTGTACATGTGTGTAGAGTGTGTGTGTGTTAGCATGTGTATGTGTGTGTCTGTGCCTATGTGTGTGTGTCTCTTCACAGTCCGCACTGTTCCAGTAGGTGTATTTGTATCTGTTTTTTAAAGCTGCTTGCATCAGTTACCTGATGTGGAATAGAGTTCTATGCAGCCATGGCTCTATGTAATACTGTGCGCCTCCCATAGTCTGTTCTGGACTTGGGGATTGTGAAGAGACCTCTGGTGGCATGTTTTGTGGGGCATGCATGGGTGTCCGAGCTGTGTGCTAGTAGTTTAAACAGACAGCTCGGTGCATTCAACGTGTCAATATTTCTTACAAAAACAAGTAGTGATGAAGTCAATCTCTCCTCTACTTTGAGAGATTGAGAGAGAGATTGACATGCATAGTTTGCCGTGCTGCCCTGTTCTGAGCCAATTGTCATTTTCCTAAGTCCCTCTTTGTGGCACCTGACCACACGACTGGACAGTAGTCAAGGTGCAACAAAACTAGGGCCTGTAGGACCTGCCTCGTTGATAGTGTTGTTAAGAAGGCAGAGCAGCGCTTTAGTATGGACAGACTTCTTCCCATCTTAGCTACTGTTGCAACAACATGTTTTGACCATGACAGTTTACAATCGAGGGTTACTCCAAGCAGTTTAGTCACCTCAACTTGCTCAATTTCCACATTATTCATTACAAGATTTAGTTGAGGTTTAGGGTTTAGTGAATGATTTGTCCCAAATACAATGCTTTTAGTTTTTGAAATATTGTTAAGTGTTGCAGTGATTTCACTCGCTGTTGTAGCTGACGTGTTGAGTCATGTGCATACGTAGATATAATGGCTTTACCTATAACACATACGTTTTTCCAGCAGCAGACTATAATCGATAATGTAAAAAGCCGCACTGAAGTCTAACAAAACATCTCCCACAATCTTTTTATCATAATTTGTGTAAGTGCCGTGCATGTTGAATGCCCTTCCCTATAAGCGTGCTGAAAGTCTGTTGTCAATTAGTTTACAGTAAAATAGCAATGAATCTGCTCAAAACATTTTTTACAAAAGTTTACTAAGGATTGGTAAATATCTGAAATTTGCATCCAAAGATAAACTGGTCACATTCAGGACATAACTTTGTAAGGACTGTGTTTGTGCAAAATGTTTCTGTGAAAAAAAACACTTTTGCCTGCTCAAACGCTGACTGTTGCGTCAATCGAAACTGGACGTTCTAAATAAGCGTTCTAATCACACCGGTTTGAGCGTACGCTGCAGGGACCACTGTAGAATGATCACACCCGTGTGTTGGTAAGCATCAAAGGGTTAACATGAGATCCTCTCTGTGCTTTACAGGAATGTGGCTCTGAATATAGACAGCAACACCGCCCGCATTGGCATTTCTGGGTTTTCTGTAGATGTTATAACCATGTATTGCTACCACTGTATTATCAAAGGTATTATCTACGTTTCAGACATACACTACATATACATAAGTATGTGGACACCCCTTCAAATGAGTGGATTCTGATATTTCAGCCACATCTGTTGCTGGCAGGTGTATAAAATCGAGCACACAGCCATGCAATCTCCATAGACAAACATTGGCAGTAGAATGGCCTTACTGAAGAGCTTAGTGACTTTCAACGTGGCAGCGTCATTGGATGCCACCTTTCCAACGAGTCAGTTCGTCAAATTTCTGCCTTGCTAGAGCTGCCGCGATCAACTGTAAGTGCTGTTATTGTGAAGTGGTAACATCTAGGAGCCACAACGGCTCAGCTGCGAAGTGGTAGGCCACACAAGCTCACAGAACGGGACAGCTGAATGCTGAAGCGCGTAGCGCGTAGAAATCATCTGTCCTCGGTTGCAACACTCACTACCGAGTTCCAAACTGCCTCTGGAAGCAACGTCAGCACAATAACTGTTCGTTGGGAGCTTCATGAAATGGGTTTCCATGGCCAAGCAGCCGCACACAAGCCTAAGATCACCATGCGCAATGCCAAGCGTCAGCTGGAGTGGTGTAAAGCTTGCCGCCATTGGACTCTGGAGCAGTGAAAAACGCGTTCTCTGGAGTGATGAATCACGCTTCACCATCTGGCAGTCCAATGGACAAATCTGGGTTTGGCGGATGCTAGGAAAACGCTACCTGTCCGAATGCATAGTGCCAACTGTAAAGTTTGGTGGAGGAGGAATAATGGTCTGGGGTTGTTTTTCATGAATCGGGGTAGGCCCCTTAGTTCCAGTGAAGGAAAATCTTAACGCTACAGCATACAATGACATTCTAGACGATTCTGGACTTCCAACTCTGTGGCAACAGTTTGGGGAAGGCCCTTTCCTGTTTCAGCATGACAATGCCCCTGTGCACAAAGCGAGGTCCATACAGAAATGGTTTGTCAAGATGGGTGTGGAAGAACTTGACTTGCCTGCACAGAGCCCTGACCTCAACCCCATTGAACACCTTTGGGATGAATTGGAACACCGACTGCGAGCCAGGCCTAATCGCCCAACATAAGTGCCTGACCTCACTAATGCTCTTGTGGCTGAATGGAAGCAAGTCCCCGCAGCAATGTTCCAACATCTAGTGGAAAGCCTTCCCAGAAGAGTGGAGGCTGTTATAGCAGCAAAGGGGGGACCAACGCTATATTCATGCCCATGATTTTGGAATGAGATGTTCGACGAGCAGGTGTACACATACAATGTAATCTGTTACTAGCAAGATATCGATTTCATGAACCTTGTTTCTTAGGCTACATATGTTAATGTGGGCTATTCTTTGCACTTTTCTGGGATGCTTGGTTGTTTTTATTGCTTTACTGGGAAGCTTATCAGAAGTAGACATGACAATGTTATTTATGTAGTGATAGTGCAGGATGAGCTGCACACAGTGGACTTCCTACTAGGGCACACATCCTCAGTGCTAACAGTATAACTCTGGTTCATAGGTACATGATTACTGCATAGAATAGCTGTAGGATTGACAGAGGCATTCAGGGGAGTGGGAGGGACATACATTAGGTTACTTACATTGTGACTGCCAATGCCCCTGGGATAATGTACATTTTCTGCAGCATTACGACAAGTCAGTGACACAATGGTAGGGATTATCTGAGCTGGGCTTGGGTCATGGATAAGTCATTGTCTCAACGCAGCCTTGAAATGTGTGGAGTCCAGAAGCCAAGATGATTTGGATGGACTCCGTCATTCCTGTAGAGCATCTTCTGTTTCTAGAAGGTGTCATAATTTTCTATAAAAGTTATTCCAACAGAGCTGCAGTAATCTTTTAGCCATGTGTGTAATGCCAATAGCCTGCTGAATCTTTCACACCCGCGGCCCAACCATTGTACGGGGCCAGAAATATTTTCCAGCTTTTTGGAATCTTTCAGAGCTAGAATCAGTTCTTTAAAATCAATTTTCAGCAGTTCCAAGCTAGCCCTCCTAATGTCACATGGACTACGACAGCGTCAGCTCCCGGCAGCTGTCGTAGAACGGTCGGAAGCAGCCTTGTAATGTGCTGTACTCATGCTCCAGGAAACACAGGGCTTTTGTCCCAGGAACCGAGATGTTTCTCACCATAGAGCTGCCGATGATGACAGGGTGCAATGGCTGAGGAGGTCCGGCCGTTCTTTCGCCTCGAGTGGTTTCGCAAATCCCTCGAGGATCGAAGGGCGGTGGGGCCCGATGGACCCGAGCCAGCTGTAGAATCCATTGGGAATGATGAAAGGGTGGAGTCTTCACGGTCCGATGAGTGGGGGAGCTCTGAAGATCTGAACTCAAGGTAGAAGCCACCGGAGATGGAGACAAAACAGAGGACGAAGGCACAGGTACCTCCGGATCCAATCTCGAAACGGAAGCCCCCAGGGAAGAAGGCGCCGGAACCTCTGCATCCAGGGCGGCAAAGCTGTTTCTAGTCTGTGTATGGTCCCGGCTTACCATTGCCAAGGAGGCCCCCATTGCCAGAGGTCGCTGCTTTTGACTTCCACGGAGAGTGACATACTGTATCGCTATGGCTGGTTGGTAGGATTGAGAACAGGAACCTCCACCAAGTTATCCAGAAGCAACCTACTAACTCCCTTCTCCAGGGAACAGAGAGACCCCTTCGAGGATGGATCCCTGCAGAGCACGGCCAGTCGACTGTGGAGAGCCAACACGGTGGCGACACTTCCACCAGGCCAGAGCAGAGTCCGGCCACAGGGGTAGATGAGAAAGAAAAAGTAGGCGGGCGTGGATTCCCCAGTAGCTTGTGTAAGTTTGCTACTTGTTTGCTAAGAGTAGCCACTTCACCCCTGTAGTCCTCTGCAATCAAACAGTTCCTACATTGAAAGTCCAGGCAGTCCACATTGTCCAAGAATAGAGCAAAATAAACACAGCTCCTGCAGCATTGAAAATGTTTGTTAGCATCCTGCATTTGAGGCTACAGCTAGGCTAGCTAAGCTAGCTGGGCTTCAATTGTGGTGAGTGATTTTTAAGGAGTCAGGCGCGGGAGGGTAAATTACAGAATAAAAGGGTTTATTCCGAAAACACAGCGGTACGCAGCAATGCGTCAAACACTCCAGTGCGTAAAACAGGCACACGGGTGAAATATCCAGGTGATACAAAATACAAGGAGCTCCACCGAGCTAAACTAACCTCCATAATAAACAATTACACACAAAGACAAGGGGGTAGAGGGAACACTTATACAGGTCCTGATGAGGGGATATGCACCGGGTGTGTGTAATTAACAAGACAAAACAAATGGAATGATGAGATGAGATGAGGAGCGGCAGTGGCTAGAAGGCCGGTGACGACAAACACCGAAGCCTTGATGTCCAGAGGGGGCGGAGGGACCCCCCGCACCTCAGACTCCTGGAGCGGACCAGACACCACCGGCCTGAGGAGAGAAACATGGAACGAGGGGTTAATATGATAATCTGGAGGGAGTAGTAACGTTTATCCTCCTCAGGACTTTGAATGGCCCCACAAACCGCGGGCTCAGCTTCTGGCAGGGCAGGCAGAGGGGCAGATTCCGGGTTGAGAGCCAGACCCGATCACCCGGTACAAAGACTGGGTCCTCACTGCGGTGGCGGTCAGCATTGGCCTTCTGGCGACGCACGGCGCGCTGGAGATGGATGTGAGCAGCGTTCCACGTCTCCTCCGCGCGCCGAAACCAATCATCCACCGCAGGAGCTTCGGTCTGGCTCTGATGCCACGGTGCCAGAACCGGCTGATAACCTAAAACACATTGAAATGGCGTTAGGTTAGTGGAGGAGTAGCGGAGAGAGTTCTGGGCATATTCGGCCCATGGCAAGAATTCCGACCACTCCCCCGGCCAGTCCTAGCAGTAGGACCGCAGGAACCTACCCACATCTTGATTCACCCGTTCCACCTGCCCATTATACTCGGGGTGAAACCCAGAGGTCAGGCTGACCGAGACCCCAAACGTTCCATGAACGCCTTCCAGACCCTGGATGTAAACTGGGGACCTCGGTCAGACACTATGTCCTCTGGCACCCCGTAGTGCCGGAAGACGTGAGTAAACAGGGCATCCGCAGCCTGCAGGGCTGTGGGGAGACCGGGCAGCGGAAGGAGGCGGCAGGCTTTTGAAAAGTGGTCCACAATGACCAGGATGGTTGTGTTACCCTGAGAGAGGGGAAGATCAGTAAGAAAGTCAACACACAAGTGGGACCATGGCCGTTGTGGAACTGGTAAGGGATGTAACTTACCAGGTACGAAGAACGAGAAGGCAGACGCACTGTCACGGCTGTATGACACAGAGGAGAGGCCCATAGACAACACCCCCATACTCCCGGCCTCCTGCATTGTGGCGCCGGCAGTGTGGGCGATGGACGTGGACATAGAGTGGGTGTTACGCACAGAGCCAGACCCTCACGTCCTTAGCCAAGGTAGGCCACCAGTACTTTCCGGTCAGGCATTGCGCTGCCGATACCTGGGTGACCAGAGGAGGGGGACGTGTGTCCCCAATAGATCAGACGGTCACAGACAAGAGACGGCACGTACTGCAGCCCAGCTGGGCACTGAGGTGGAGATGGCTCTGTGCGTAACACCCATTCTATGTCCGCGTCCATCGCCCACACTGCCGGCGCCACAATGCAGGAGGCCGGGAGTATAGGAGTGTTGTCTATGGTCCTCTCCTCTGTGTCATACAGCCGTGACAGTGTGTCTGCCTTCTCGTTCTTCGTACCGGGATGGACCAGTACAGGGACTGAGGTGAATAGAACCCTCAGGTTACTGAAGGCCCTGTCAGCTTCAGCAGACCAGCGGAGCTGGGACGGCCCACCCTTCATCAGAGAGGTGATGGGAGCTGCAACCTTCCAAAGCCCCGGATAAACCTCCGATAGTAGTTGGCAAAGCCAATAAAGCGATGCACCTCCTTTACCGTGGTTGGAGTCGGCCAAATACGCACGGCTGAAATGCGATCTCCCTCCATCTCCACACCTGAGGTGGTAATGCGGTATCTGAGAATGGAGACGGACTGTTGGAAAAAAACAGACACGTTTCTTCCTTGGCATAAAGGTCATGTTCCAACAGTCGGCCCAGCACTTTGCGAACCAGGGACACATGCTTCGCGCACGTAGCGTAATACACCAGAATGTCATCGATGTAGACCACTACACCACGACCAAGCATGTCCCGAAACACCTCGTTCACAAAGGACTGGAAGACGGATGGAGCATTCATCAAACCGTACGGCATCACCAGGAATTCGTAATGCCCCGTGCTTGTGCTGAATGCTGTCTTTCACTCGTCCCCCTCTCGGACATGCACCAGGTTGTACGCACTCCGGAGATCTAGTTTTGTGAAGAAGCGCACCCCATGCATTGACTCGATTACAGATGGAATGAGGGGTAGAGGATAACTAAAACGTGTAGTCCCCTTGTTCAGTGCTCGGTAATCAATGCGAGGGTGTCTTTCTTCTTCACAAAAAAGAAACTCGAAGAGGCGGGCGACGTGAAGGGATGTATGAACCCCTGACGCAGGGACTCGAAGACATATGTCTCCTTCGCCTCCGTTTCAGCCTGCGACGGGATACACATGACTGCTGGGAGGCACAGTGTCTACTCGGAGGTTTATCGCGCAATCCCCCGCCCGATGAGGTGGTAATTTGGTCGCCTGCGTGCACCAAATCGAGGTATTCTGGGGGAATGCGCACGGTGGAGGTAGTGTCTGGACTTTCCACCGTGGTTGCACCAACGGAAACAGCTAGACACCTACCCTGACACTCTCGCGACCACACCGTGAGAACCCTCTGTGGCCATGAAAAGGTGGGGTTGTGTCGTGCTAACCAGGGAAGACCCAACACATCCTGGAAATCAGGGGACTCAATAATAAAAAAGGTGACTTGCTCTCTATTGGTCTCATGCGTAGCCATTGTGACTTGTGCTTGTTACTTCCCTAACGAACCCTGATCCTAATGGTCAACTATCAAGTGCTTTGATGGGTAATGGAATGGATACTGGAACCTATGGAATACCTAGACTATGCGCTAATGACCTGTCCATAAAGTTCCCAGCTGCGCCTGAATCGACCAGCTTCTTACACTGGGAAACTACTGTGTGATCAGGGAAGGTGACTTGTATGGTGCAGTGTGCAGCAGAGGGCTCTGAACGAGTGTGGGTTTGCGCTACCTGGGATGATGCGAGAGTGTCCTGCCTGCCGCCTCCATTACTGGAAGAACCCTGACGACAGCTTGCAGCCGAATATCCTCTCCTGCCACAAGAGTGACACTGGAGCTGTCGTCCTCTGTTCTCCCGGAACGCTGTACCACCCAGCTCCATCAGAACTGAATCCGGGTTGAGGGGGTGGGGGTGAAATGGGCAGGCCCCCTCCAGGACATCCTCTTGTAGCTAGCAGGTTGTCCAACCGGATGACCATGTCCACCAGCTGATCGAAGGTCAACATGGTATCCCGGCAGGCTAGCTCCCTTCGGACATCCTCTCGCAGGCTGCACCGGAAAAGGTCAATGAGGGCCCGCTCGTTCCACCCGGACCCAGCCGCTAGAGTACGAAGCTCCAGGGAAAAGACCTGCGCGGTCCTCGTCCCCTGCCTCAGCGAACTCCCTGTAGTTGTCCAATGTGGCTCCTCCTTCACTCCAGACCGCATTGGCCCACTCCAGGGCTTTCCCAGAGAGGCAGGAGATGAGGGCGGACACCTTCTCCCGCTCCGATGGAGCCGGGCTGATGGATGAGAAGTAGATCTCCAGCTGCAGGAGGAATCCCTGGCAGAGGTCAGCTGTCCCGTCATAATCCCTCGGTCGGGAGAGATGAATCCCTCTGGGTGCTGGGGTGTGGGTGGCTGGATCCAGTCGCTCAGCTTGTCCTGACGGGTCGGGTCCTCTCGACGGATCGGGACCTGGAGAACCCGATCCATCGCTTCTCCCAAGCTGGCTAACATTGTAGAATGCTCCCGGACCGTGCCATGACTCCAGGCACGTGCTCTTCTCCTGCTGACTCCATGTCTGGTGTGTGATTCTGTGGTGAGTGATTTTGAAGGAATCAGGCGCGGGAGGGTAAATCACAGAATAAAAGGGTTTATTCCGAAAACACAGCATTACGCAGCAACGCGTCAAACACTCCAGTGCGTAAAACAGGCGCACTGGGAAACAACAAGGCACACGGGTGAAATATCCTGGCCGTACAAAATACAAGGAGCTCCACCGAGCTAAACTATCCTCGACAATAAACAATCACACAGAAAGACAAGGGGGCAGAGGGAACACTTATAAAGGTACTGATGAGGGGATATGAACCAGGTGTGTGTAATAAACAAGACAAAATAAATTGAATTATGAGATGAGGAGCGGCAGTGGCTAGAAGGCCGGTGACGACGAACGCCGAAGCCTGCCCGAACAAGGAGAGGAGGCAGCTTCGGAAGAAGTCGTGACATCCGTGTTTCTCTTCTTGACAGGGAATTCTCAACTTGTCCAAAAGATAATTACATGGCTATCAAAACGTCAGGCCAAGGCAGTGGCGGCTCCTGAAAAAATTCTCAGGGGGGGGCAATTTTTCTGATGATTTAGGTGACCTACACACATTTAAAAAAATATATGTCCAGCAACAACATGAAGACAGGGGCAGCATATAAGTCAATACCAGAAGCATTTATTGACTGATCTCAAAAGTGTTGGCTTACAAAAGCAAAATAAGTTATCACAGTAAAAATAATCAAGGGTGTTCTTTCGCATTCCTCAACACTGCATAAACAATATGCATTTCCATAAAACACCTCATCTAATTGTGCCACAAAGTTGACAAGTCCAAGAAAAATACCAGGGTTGGTGGAGCCCTCAGTTTCATCTTTGCCTCGCAAAGCTAACTCAAACACTCTGCAAAACTTCACACACTGGATTAGCCGGCAGAGGATGTGGCGGTTCTTGCTAACC